ACCATGTCTAATTCTTTTGTAGAGTTGGACAAACTCTCAGTATATAAAGTTGTCTGGTGTCCATAGGGTCTTGTGTCTCCCTTTTCAACCCTTTAAAATCCTGACAGATAATTTTACTCAAAGGCATCAGAGAATCGATGGCCCACAACTTGTTCTCTTTGCTCCCCTACCGTGCCCCCATTTATTTTCACCCTGTGCTTCAGGAAGCTGATGTATGGGCACCAGAAGGTATTTTTGTCCTTTAACTTCATTTTGGTCATGGCCACTAAGAGACAAAGGCAATGGATTGACATGAAGGAGAGGAGTTCCTCTGGATTCCTCCTTGCTGAGTCTCTGCAGGTTGACTGTGTTTCTCTCCCAAAGATCACAGCTCTTTTGGATGGGCAATTGTTATTGCCTGAACAAGGAAATACATATTTTTTTTGGGGGGAGGGTGTTCACTTTTTGTTTTGGTTTTGGGTTGTGGTGATCAGGACTTACTGCTGGCTCTGCACTCAGGAACCATTCCTGGTGGGCTCTAGGGACCAAATAGGGTGCAGAAAGTCAAACCCAGGGGTGCCATGTGCAAGGAAAATACCATGCCTGCTGTACTATGGCTCCAGCCCCTGAAATGCACGATTATTTTTTTTTAAATTGAATCACCGTAGGGGGTATGGTGCTGCCAGCAGGTCAATCTGTACCTGTGAGGCGAGTGCATCAGCAGCCTGATGGCAATGTCAGACTTTCAGATACCCCAAAATTGCTGCTGTGCCTTTGGCCAGACCCCAAAAACTTGGGGAAAATTTACCAAGAAAGTAAAGGGCCAAAAGTTAGGTATGTGGGAGACATACCCACAAACCACTTCTGGCTCAGCTATATAATTGGAGGCATGGCCTCTTTGGTTCCTGATCGAACTGCTGAATGGCCATGATCCCAGAGACTCAGAAACAAATCTCGGAACCCAAAGGCTTTTGGCAGAAATGCATCCTGTTCCTGCAGTAGTTTACTGGCTCTGGGCCACTCCAGGTGGGAATAGGTTTTGTGTCTTGGCCTTTTCCCCCTGGCAGCCTGGTGACCACCATCTTCCAGAGGCCACTGGACAGTCAGGTTTGGGCCTGCAGTGATGAGACACACAGGGCCTCACCAGATGGGGGTGGAGCCGACTCTTCTCCCCATCCCAACGAGACCCTGAGTCGCCACCTACAAACGGCCTCTCTGGCTCCTAACAAGCTGATTAATGGTCATGAGGTCATGAGTTGTCCCCCACAAGCGGCTCTCTGGCATGGCTATGACTCCAGAGGCAAAAGTACTTAATCCAGAGCCTGGCAGCTTGAAGCAGAAAAGTGAATGGACCATGTGTTAAATTATGGTACCATGCCTCCCCAGGAGGGAAAGGGTGTTGCTCCCTTCCACTTTTTTCCCCCCTGGCAGCAAGGTGGCCACCACCTCAGAGCTTATAGGAAAGCCAGGTATGAGCCCGCAGTGATGGGGCAACTGCAGTCTTATGGGAAGGGGGGTAGTACTGGCTCATCCTTCACGCCCTACCGAGGTCATGAGGTCATGAGGTCATGAGTTGCCCCCCATGAGCGGCTCTTCGGCACAGCCATAACATCAGACACAGAAACCAATCTCATAATTATCTGGCTCTTTGCAGAAATCCAAAATCGTGGCCGCATGACATTATATAATTCTCATAACCAACTGTAGAAAACAAAATATTTCACAATGCCTTTTCAGCAATTCTGATTGTTGCAGGGGAAATTCTAAACAATAATTGGTGCATCTTTTGTCGAAATAATGAATGTAATCAATGTAGAGAAGAGTTAAGTAGAAATCATCTGCTTCACAGGCATTGGGAGGGGTGGGAGGGGGTATATTGGGGTTCTTGGTGGTGAAAAATGAGTACTGGTGAAGGGAGAGGTGTTTGATCATTGTATGACCAAGACTTAAACCTGAAAGCTTTATAACTTTTCCCAGAGTGATTCAATAAATAAACATAAGAAGAAAAAAAGTAAAATTGAATCACCGTGAGATAAAGTTACAAAGCTTTCATGTGTGAGTTTCAGTCATACAATGATCAAACACCCATCCCTTCATCAGTGCACATTTTATACTACCAATGTCCTCAGTATCCCCCCTCCCCCTGCTTCTATGGCAGACAATTTCCTCCAAACTCTACTTTTGAATATTATGGTTTGCTTGAATTTTCCCACCACCACTTAAGCCTGTCTGCCACGAACAGATGCTAGATCATTTATTTTCTACTGCTTATTATGAATATCATGAGAGGTTGCAGGGCTGCACACTTCTGGAATTCTAACATTGTAAATGGTTTGGGTCCAGAGACATCTCTGTAGGGAGCTAATCCATTTTGAGATTCATTTGGGAATCTCTGGATCAAGGCCATTGATGTGTTGAGATGGCACCCAGAGGCAGATCAGGAGCATGACAACCAGAACCCCAAGTGGCAGGGAGACAGGGAGAGACAGTCCCATCTCTTCTGCCACCATGTGTCCTGGAGTCTTAGTCCTGGAACCCATATACCTGGGTTTTGCTTCTGGAAGCTCTTGGCCGCTGGGGTTTCATCTGGAGCAGGCAGAGAGGGCACACCTGCTCCATCAGAGGTGAAATGCACTATCATTATTGGCTGTTCAGACCTTGCCAAATCTCTCTGTTCCTTTATTCAACCTGCCTCAAAGATCTAGTGCAATCTCTGCACTTTCTAGACCCAAATATATAAGATGGGGGAGGAAAGGAAAAGTCAAGGTGGTGAGGGTTGGTCAAGAAGGAGAGACTAATTTTTGCATCACACTCAGCAGTGCCCAGGAATTACTCCTGACTCTCCACTCAGGGATCACTCCTGGCAGAGCTCAGGGGACCATATAAAGTGTTGGGGATTGAACCTGAATCATCTGCATGCAAGACAAGTGCCCTACCTTCTGTACTATCACTACTATGTAGTCCTAGAGTCTACATATCAACTTTTCATAGAATCAAGGAAAATAAATTTGAGCCCAGATAAATATATGTAACCACATTATTTCAGTTTTCTCAATGTGCTTCCCTGGATATGTGTGTGTGTGTGTGTGTGTGTGTGTGTGTGTGTGTGTGTGTGTAATATCTACTTGTAGGTTGGGAAGGTGAGATGTGGAAGTGGTAACAGTGCCAGGCAAATAGTATTTTTTCAATTATTATTATTACTACATAGTAGCTCTAGGAATTGTTCTGAATATATGATATGTGAGAATATTTACTAGTGAAGGGAAAACATGTTAGAATTGGTGCTTCAGGAACATTGATTCCCAGAATGGCAACATTACTCTTTGTTTTTCTGGAACCTTGCTTTTACTTATGCTGGGGTGTGTAAACTGGGCGTGTGTATCTTAATTGTAGGGAGAGGAAAGGGACGGAAGGAGAGAGACAGAAACAAGAATGAAACCCAAGAGCCCGAGAACTATTTCAGTGTCTTAGAGTTCCTGCCTTGTAAGTATATGGACATGAGCCCAACTCCCCCGTGATCCACATGTGTCAGATGTGATGCTGGCTGCTCAGCTGTCTGTGATCCTGGAGCTGCAAATGACTTCCAGCCCCATGGGGACATGTGAGTCTCAGTAAAAGCTCCGCAGCTAAAAATAAAAAATTGTGAGCATCACACCCAGTCTCTGTGTGTGTGCAACACCCAGTCACCACAACAAAACCAAACAGGAAGGGGGAGCAGGGAGATTTGAAAAATTAATAAAAAACAAGAATTACCAAATGAAAAACTCAGGAGACTTTGTGCGTGGTAAAGTGGAATAGAGAGCGCAGAGTGGTGATGGGGAGTGCTGAGCTCACAGGCACCTTCTGCCCACTTCTCACTGAGTCTGACATGTTCCTCCTCTCCTGGGTTAGGGGCTGGGAAGGAGTCACACTGCTCCTCCTCAATTCCTCACAGACCAGTGTTTGTATTTGAGCTTAGCAAAAGTGACATATCGTAGGAGTCGTTCCAGCTGAAGCCAAATAGTTTAGTGGGGAGGGGCCCAAGGCCCAGGGTCAGGAGGGCTGGTGCTGCCTAACAGATGTGCTGTTTTCCTCTCCAAACACACTGCTGCTTAATTGCTCAGGGCCAGGTGCTGGAGGAGACAGAGGCTCAGAGAAAGTCGTAGTGTCTCTGAGGCCATATGATAACATGGGACCAGGTTGAATTCAGCTCCCTTTAGCCTGACCTCAAGAGTTGGTTGCATATGTGTGTGGTTGATTCAAGGTTTGGCTGTAGGATGGGTCCATTTGTATCAGAAAGTTTCTAGATTTCTGAGATTCCTGTTACTATCAATGGTCACTATGCTGCTGTTTGTGTGTGTGTGTGAGTGTGTGTGTGTGTGTGTGTGTATGTGAGTGTGTGTGTGTGTGCAGGGTCTATGCAAAGGATGTTGCAAGACTGGTGAGAATTGAGTCAGAGGTTAGTGGAGAGGGTGAGCAGATGAAATGCTGAGTTAGTGTGCTGTGAGGCCATTTCCCTCAAACCTGAGTCTGGTTCAATTTCTCAATACCTGAGGTGAAGGGGATAATGGATGGTTGGAATGTCAGTAAGTCTCTCAGGTCTGGGGGCCATAATCTGAATCTGACAGAATGTCTGGAACTCTGGTTCCAGCAGCTACTGCACACAGCACTTTCCCTCCCTCCCTGCCCACTCCCTGACCAGCAGGTTCCTGTCAAGCAGAAAGGAAGACAGCATGGCAAAGGGGAAGTGTAAATGGGTATTTATTACAAACGGTACAACTGGGGAATAGACAGACCTGCAGTGTGTTCTTCATCTAGACCCCAATTTGTCAGCAGTCAACCTGAACATCCTATCCTTGGCCCTCAGCTGGGGTCCAGAAATGAGGTCTCACCAAGGAAATCGGGGTTCAGTTCATGAGGAAGATGTGTAGTGAAAGTCACTCAGTCTCAGTGAGAGACACAAGGCTTTTGGAGATGTGTCTCCTGCGGGGACACTGGGGTGTCCCAGGCATGCCGGTGAGAAGACAGTGAGGCTGTAGGTCTCAGGCCCACAGGGCGATGAAGGCCATGAAGGTGAATCCGGCAACCACACAGCCCCATTTGGCCAGAGGACTCTCAGGAGAAGCCAGCTCCCGGGGCAGAATTTCGAGGAAGGTGACATAAAGGAAGGTGCCAGCTGCCACACCCTCTAGGACTGCCTGGGCTAGGCCTCGGCCCCCTTGCGTGTCCCCCTGAGCCACAGCCAGCCCTATCGCTAGGCCCAGGGGCGACATGAGCGCTAATGACACAATGGAGACCACAGCCCACCGGGCCCTGGCCCCTATCTGCACCAGGCGCAGGCCAACACCGAACACCACCAGCCCCTTGTGAGCCAGGACTGCCAGGCAGAGCTGCACCGTCATTGCTACCGTTGGCTGGAGCCCCACGGCCAGTCCTTCAAACACAGAGTGAAAGGAGAGGGAGAGCAGGAGGACCAGGGCCCTCAGGGGACCCCGGGAGGGCGAGGGCGGAGGTCCATGGTTGTGGATTTGCAAGACATGAGCTCCCCCACACTCCTCCTCCTGCAGGGTGGCTCCTCCAGCTGCCCCTGGGCAATACTGCAATGCCAATGACTCCAAAAGGAAGACTAGAAAGAAGCCCAGGCAGATGATGAGCTCTCCATAGGGGTACTCCATCTGGGAACACAAAGAGGGACTGTGACATTTTGGAGATCTTATGAAACACAGTAGGAGACTGACACCCAAACACAATAGAAATGAAGGCCAGGAGGACTGGTCCTTAGGAGGAAGCTGGCCACAGTGAGGGGAATGCAGTTAGGTCAGAGAAGGGACCGCTATGACAATGATAGAAGGAAGTGATCACTCTGGGAGAGATCTGGGTGCCTTAAGGAAGTAAAGTGAGAGGCATGCTACCCTTTCAGTAACAGTATTGCAACCACAGTGCCTAAAGGGAGAAAAGAAAAGTGACTGTCATGTGGCAGATTTGTGGGTGGGTGGGAGGGAAACTGGGGACATTGGTGAAGGGAATTGGACACTGGTGAAGAGATAGGTGCTTGAACATCATAAAACTGAAACTCAGTCACAAACATTTGTAACTTTGTATCTCATGGTGATTCAGTGAAAAATTATGTTAAATAAGTCGGGGGGAAGAGCGCTATGAAGTGTGAAAGAAAGGGACTAGAGGTCTTTGGATGGACCTCCCGTTGGGAGACCAAAGAGTATCAGAAAACATCTGTCAGGACATAAAAATGGAGCTGGACATGCAACAACCCAAGAAGGAGAAGGACTAACAGGGACCCTACTAATCGGGGTAGAAAATGGGAAACCATGGAAAGCAGGTCAAGCATTTGGGAAAGAATAAAAGGTAAAATAAGAGCTTTTTTCTGGGATCTTATAAACCCATAAAATCATTGGGTTGACTTTTCCTTTTCTCTAGTGCTGAGGAGCAAAGGGTTCCTTGAATTCCTCACATCCTCCCCTCAAAGGTGTTGAGAAGGGTCTGTGGCTCGGTTCACCCTCCAGATAGGGCAGGTGGGAGACACTCACCTCTGCAGAATCAGCAGCCTCTGAATTTCCCTCGCTTGCTGTACTGTTCTGGGGGAAAAGCAGAAATCAGATAGGACTTGGTACTTCTCAGCGACCTTTTACTGCATTCTAGCTCCACTGCTTTCCCTAAAGCTCGTGTTGACCTGATTTCATCACCCCACACATACAAGAGCTGTTAACTTCTCTCTTGCTCCACCCATATTCTTGGCTCCATCATTTCTCCCCTTTCTTCTCTTGCTTCAGTCTCTCTTTGCTTCACTGCACCAAAGTTTGGCATTTTCTCCACTTACCTGAATCAGGAACTTCTGGATCTCAGATTCGATTCTCTCCAGGGCTTCGGCGGTCATGTGCATGAACCCTGCTCCCAGGAACACACCAGCAGAAGTGCAGCCCAGGAGGCTGAGCACCCGGCGGTGGCGACCTAAACTCAAGAAGGAGTCACAGTCCAACAGGCAGTGAGGAGAAAGTTGGAGTCAAGAGCACCAGATAGCATCAGCCTCCTAAGAGGGAGGACGGTGAGAGTTTCAGAGCCACGTACCAGGACAGGGACAGCAGAGAATCAGAGCCAGCCATGGGGACCCAGAGGTGGTAGGGCTCTACCTGTGGCCGCATCAATCTTGAACCATTTGAAGTAGATGGGCACGAGGCCACAGACCACAGTGAGCAGCAGCAGGGCAAACATGCAGCCCAGCTTCACTCCAAGAAGAGCTTCCATCTGGGGTGCAGGATAAGCAGGGGCTTCAGAATGGCAAACAGTGCGACAATCCTGGAGTTGGAGTAGGGTGGAGGTGATGAGAGCCGTGTCCCTTCCTGATTTTCAGGAGCCCATTGGGATCTTCTCCGTGTTCTGGGCTGCCTCTGCTTGCGCAGCCTTGCATAGCTGACTGGGGCCCGGCCCCTGCCTGGAGGCCCCTCCCCTGGCTCAAGTCCTCCTGATCCTGGAAACCAGAAACTCCAGCCTCTCTGCCAGGCACAGCTGGTGCTCTGTCTACTCCTCCTCTTCAGTGCCATGAGTAATCCAAGGGCTGTGGGCAGTCTTAGTTCATCCCTGGGACTGGTCTCATCCCAATAGGGCAGCTCTTGGAGCACTCACCAGCCGGTCTGTGTTGGGGACCCTCTGGGCCAGCCTCAGCTAGGATATTTGATCTAAGCCTTCCATACCCTCCCCACTCTCACCCCAATTCTTATAGGTTGCTCTGCTGATACCTGAACCAGCACCCTTTCAGAGGGGATTTGGGGCCACCTGGGAGAAAGGAGGTGGGGCTGAAAGTGTTACTGCCACCACTGTGTAAAAACTGGTATATTGGGGGACTCCCCTTAACTGAAATCTCAGAAAAATAGCTTTGGGCATGGAAACACACAGTCAGGAATTTCAAGTATTACGACATCTCTTAGCTATCACAACTTCTGAAGGTACCAATTCTGATACTTGTTGTGAAAAGGAAATGCGTGTTAAAGACAAAAATGTGCTCCAGCTCAAAACTGCCTGGCCTAGGGGAAAACAGAAGTATACCAGTAACAGAACAATCCAGTTCTGGTATCTGGGTGGGGATGGAGATTTTAGTTCCTCTGCGGGATCTACTTTTGAGTTACATGAATTAAGTGAATTTGGGGGAATTGATGAATCTTGAGAAAGAATGGGGGACCGGCCGGTGGGGGTGGGGAGTAGGTAAAGTGGCTTGAAAGCACTTACCTACTAGGTAGTGGTTTACCTACTAGTAGTTAAGTGGCTTGGAAGCACTTACCTTGTACAGGGGACCTACAAACAACTCTGAACTTGTTGAGCCAGTTCTCAGTGAGCTGGGGGCACTTTCCCACTGTCCCAGATTACCAAGGAAGGATGGGGGAAGGGGTTCAGAATGGCTACCACGTTGATGTGTAGATTACCTGAGTGAAGTAGCTGCTGCAGGCTCAGGAGAAACTTTTGTGTCTAGTTAATTACTACAGAATTGAGATGGGAGACCTTGTCTATAAAACTCATTTCTAGAGATAAATGTCTATGCCCTATCTGTATGACAGGGCGGTCATCCAATTACTAGAGTCCTTCTCATTGTTCTGTGAATTTCCTGTTATCCCTTTGAAGCTCCAAGTCCTGCTCATTCCTGGGTTACCGTTGAACTGCTGGTGTATGGGAGTTCCTTGTAAATTTAGTTTTTCTTCTGCTAGCTTATGTTGCTTTAGTTAGGCCATTTGAAACAACCTTGAAAGATAGAGGAAGTTTTCCCCTTTCTACACTTCCTGGATGTCCTGGTCTTTGGTAGTAGTATTCTCACAGTATTGCTTAAGACTTCTGGGAGATGCAGAAGAACATAGAGAAATAGTTGAGTGGCTTTGTGCCTCAACAAGTGTGTGGTTCAAGAACTCAACTCTGGGCTGTAGTGATAGCAAAGCGGATAGGGCGTTTGCCTTGCATGCGGTCAACCCGGGTTCGATTCCCAGCATCCCATATGGTCCCCTGAGCACCGCCAGGAGTAATTCCTGAGTGCATGAGCCAGGAATAACCTCTGTGCAATGCCGGGTGTGACCCAAAAAGAAAAAAAAAAAACTCTGCAGTGCCCCTCCTGCATCAGACACAGTCTTCGCTTCTTGTCACAACTAGACATGGGAGCACCATGGCCATGAAGTGTGACTCTGGTGAGATTGTGTACACAACTGACAACTGAAGGAATGCACACCTAGTGAGCACACAGGGCTGTATGTGTAAACACCAAAACCTGATTTATAATTCCTGGTAAACACTAAAGCTACGAATGTGTGAGCATCATAACCACAAGTATATGAAACGCTTGGTCACTGCAATAACCAAGAAGGAGGAGGGAATATACAAATAGAGTCACTGTCGCTGTCCTCCCATTGTTCATCGATTTGCTCGAGCAGGCCCAGTAACATTGTGAGACTTGTTACTGTATTTGGCATATCGAATACATCACAGGGTGCTTGCCAGGCTTTGCCATACAAATAGAGTATATATATATAAGGTAAAGGCCCTCCCGTTGATCGTCGATTTGCTCGAGCGGGCCCAGTAACGTCTCCATTGAAGACTTTGTTGTTACTGTGTCTGGCATATCGAATACTCTCGGTAGCTTGCCGGGCTCTCTGAGAGGGGTGGAGGAATCGAACTCGGGTCGGCCATGTTGGCCGCTTGTAAGGCGAATGCCCTACCCGCTGTGCTATCGCTCCAGCCCATATATATATATATATATATATATATATATATATATATATATACACACACATATATATGCCTATCTATGTATCTATGAATATATATGAATGATTTGTATGGGAAGATCACACTGAAAATCCAAGGATTCTCTTTATTAAAGGATATACCATGGGGTCAAAGTAACAGTACAGCAGGCAGGGCATTTGCCTTGCACGTGGCTCACCTGGGTTTGGTCCCCAACATTCCATATTGTTAGCGTCCTTGATCCAAGGAACAAGACAGTCAAAAATGCGAGCAAAGAAGTTCTTTGTTTGCGCCAAGCACATGTACTGTTCAACCATGGTCCCCTGCACAGAGGGCAACCTCGTCTCCCTGCAAGCATCCCCTTTTATCCCTTTACTTGGGTTTGGACCTTTCTGCTTTGTATTGGCTCCCTCCCAGGACCCTTGATTGGCTTATCCCTCCCTTGCTGCCCTCACCTGCTAGCGTGGCTTACCCAATCTGACTTCCTTTCCCCTTTTTAGGCTATAGTCTGCTACTTTTCCTTTTATGGTCCTGCACCTTTACTTATTCTTCTGCTTTCCCAGAACTTATGCTAGTGATTATGTTAGCTGGGTTAAAGATAAACTTGGATATCCTGTCCAATATGCCTGCTTAGCATTAAATCATTACCATATGGAACTATGGCTAATATGGAGTACCTAATGTTAGTTTTTGCAGCCTTTCAATATAGTCCCCCCCAAGCACTGCCAGGAGTAATTCCTGAGTGCAGAGCCAGGAGAAACCCTTGAGCATTGCCAGGTGTGACTTAAACAACAACAACAAAAAAAAAAAAAGGAAAGAAAAAAGAAAAAGGATATACCTTGGCAACACTCACCTCTACATCTTTTAAGAATCACAAGATCCAAGGGGCTGAGGAGATGGCTCAAAGGGCCAGAGTGAATGCTTTGCATGTGGGACCCTTAGGTTTGATCACTGGCACTGCAGGGCCTCCCATATGCTGGGAAAACTCCTGACAACCCGGAGTACTTCTGTTTTGACAAAACCCATCATCAAACAAAAAGAATCACAAGACTCATTTCCAATATTTGAAAAATTATTTATTATGATTAAAACCTCCAACAAATAAGGTATACAGAGACATCAGCGCTCTCCATCCTGGATACCAGGTAGCTTCAGTCTTGGCAGGCTTGACACAGGGAAATACTTGTTCTCCATTCTTGTCAGCTTCCAGAGGTATCTTGAGTGGAGGAAGGTGTGATCACAGGTAACAAGTCACCCCAGGAGCTGACGCGAGCGCAGCGGTACAAATCCCTGGGGAAAGGAGAGGTCAGTGACTTAAAACAACCAAAAAAAAAAAAAAGCTGTCTGTTCTTGCCACCTCACACTGATTACAGCCACTCCCTCTGTACCTGCCATGCTTGCGGGCAGTGATCACAGCATGCTGCCCCTGCCCGTCTGGACAGCACAGGTGACAGTGCACATGACGTGGCCGTTTCAGGACAGGCTGAGTGATCCGGGGCCAGCGATGAGCCTTCTCTGGTGATCCTCGGGCCAGGATGACCATTGAGAACTTTTCTTCCTTTGGCTTCTTGTTCTAAGATTAAGATATGAGACATTGGGGGTGAAGGGAATGTAGAGCAGGTAAGGAGCTTGCCTTGCATGCTGCCAACCCAAGTCTGATCCTTGGCACCCCCATATGGCCCCCTGCAACTGTCAGGAATAATTCTTGAGTGCAGAGCCGGAAGAAACCTGAGTGCTGCTGGGTATGGGTCAAAAACAAAGGAGAGGGAGAGGGAGAAGAAGAAGGAGAGGGAGGGGGAGAGGGAGAGGGAGGGAGTGAAGGGGGAGGAAGAGGGGGAGGGGGAGGGGGAGAGTCAGTCAGGAAACAGTCAGGAAAAAGATATGGGACTCCTGCTCCAGAAGTCCTGTTCAAATTCAAAGCCATGTTCCCTTAGGCTCTAAAGCCACTCTGAAGTCCCCATCGCCTCCCAGGTCTGACTTTGTTCCTCCTGCTTTCCCAGTTTGTTTTCTCTCTGCTGCAGTATTTCCAGGGTACATACCCAGCTGAAGGGGATGGGATGATAAGCCTGGGCAAAGCTACAGGCCAGGGGCTTAGAGGCTGTCAATTGGGGACAAGGAAGTTCATGAGGACACTGTGAACAAAGAAAAGACAGGAGGTAAGACAAGCCACAATACCTTGTAAAACTGAAAAAGTAGAGTGAGAGTTCAGTGGCTGAGGGAACAAGACAGTGTAAGGGGCAGGGCACCATCGACGTTGTGAAGAGCTCCTGGGAATGGAGGGGCTTAGATTTACCCTCTCGCCCTCTTGTTCTTATCTCTGTGTGTTGGGATAGGTAGAAGTACTACTCACTGGGGCAAAGACAAATCCAGGACGTGGGTCTAAAAGACACTTTTCTTTTCCCTGAAATTAAAAATAAAAATAAAATAAAAGCTGGGTCTGAGAGGGTCTATTCTCATAACTTAATCTCTGCACTCTGTAAATTGAGATCTTCTTTAACATTCAATTCTGACAATCATTAACTATGTCCTTTGAGTTAAGCTGGCTGCATCTCTAATGCTCCAAACAAAGAACTTTCTCTTTGCAGCAGGAGAAAAGCTGGAACTTGGCACATAGTATGGTGCTCTCTTTGCCAGCAACCTCAACTCTCAGTCAAATCTCACTCCGGGAGAATTAAATTCATGATTTCATGCTACTCTTACTATCCCAAAGAGATCAAGTTCTTGGTTCAGCAATGCTTTTGTTCAGGTGTTGACAACTCTTTATTATTTTTTTTCCCCCAAAAAGAAAAGGCAAAAATTCTGCTGCTGACCAGAACTGTGAACTTGTGTTAATTGTGTGTCTGTGAAAGCTGCCAAAGACACACAATATCCATGGTGTAAACAGAAACACGTCACAGAATGAGCTGGATCCATAGGCCCCATTTTGCTGACCATTGC